TAGCAGGGCTCGAAGGGCGTTTTTAGGGAGCTAGAGGCGGAATTGCAGGGGCAAATGGTTTCGCTGAGGGCGGAGGAGACAAATCGATGTTCTCAACCTTCTACGTCTTGTGCCTCAGCCGATCAAGGCTCGCCTCGTCGCTTGTATAAGTTGTGAGTCCATAGGGAGGCTCAGCTCGATGTGTATGAGGCTTTTCATGCTAAGGGCAGGGCAACAGAGGCAGAGATTCAGGCAGTGCACGCTGAGCGCGTGCAGCTCATGAGTCATGTGGATACGACCCCCTTACTCCTGACGGGAAGGTATCAATTCTGATGACGCAAATCACCTTGCTTCTGATTCGTGGTATGAAGACGCTTACCCCGCTGAGGATGATGTGTTGTCTTGGTTTATATTTTACTTTTGCTTAGAAATTTTTGGCATGGGCCGTACTAGGTCCTGTTTGTAAGGACAAATGTAAATGATATTTTGTTGTAATGTAAATTTTACTTTCGCCGGTTTGTTTGTTTGTTGTTTTATTTCTTTTGCTTATTGCATATGATACTGACGCCCTTGGCTATTGGGACGTTGCTTTGAACTGCCCTCGAAGTAGGATCCCATAGTGGTTCGAACGAGGTCGGACTTAAACTTTTGTCGATGGCCTTGGCCATTGGGATGTTGCTTCGAACTGTCGTCGAAGTAGGATCCCATCGTAGTTCGAACGAGGTCAAACTTAAACTTTTGTTGATGGCCTTGGCCATTGGGATGTTGCTTCGAACTGTCGTCGAAGTAGGATCCCATCGTAGTTCGAACGAGGTCAAACTTAAACTTTTGTTGATGGCCTTGGCCATTGGGATGTTGCTTCAAACTGTCATCGAAGTAGGATTCCGTCATGGTTCGAACGAGGTCGAACTTAAACTTTTGTCAATGGCCTTGGCCATTGAGATGTTGCTTTGAACTTTCATCGAAGTAGGATCCCGTCATGGTTCGAACGAGGTCGAACTTAAACTTTTGTCGATGGCCTTGGCCATTAGGATGTTGCTTCGAACTGTCGTCGAAGTAGGATCTCGTCCTGGTTCGAACGAGGTTGAACTTAAACTTTTGGAGACGGTTGTATTCCCGTAGGAAGATATCACATATCGACGATGTCAAACTTAGATTTGTGTCGATGGTTGCATTCCAATAGGAAGACCATATGTCAACTAATGGATATTTGATTCCATACATACAATGGAGATTCGATTTCGCTCATGCAATGGAGATTCGATTCTGTACATATAATGGAGATACGATTCTGCTCATACAATGGAGATTCGATTCTGTACATATAATGGAGATACGATTCCGCTCATACAATGGAGATTTTGATTATCCATATGTAGTCCCTTCATTGCTTCGATCCGAAGATCATATCGACGGGTCGAGGTAATGAACAGCACGTCGATCCATAAAGCATCCCCCTCGTCGCCTCGTTAAAAACCTCCCTAGGAAAACCCGATTGGGACAGAAACCGGGTAAGGAAAAAAGAGTACGGCTTAGGTGACGCCTTTTTTTAGAAGTGGAAGTACTTGAGGTGGGGCGATGTTCCAGTTGTTTTGGAGCAGTTTTCCCTCCATTGTTTCTAGCTGGAATGCTCCTTTGTTTTCTACTGCTACTATCTTATATGGTCTGTCCCAGTTTGTTCCCAATTTTCCTTCATTAGGGTCCTTCGATGCTTGTGTTTTGGACTTGAGGACGTAGTCGCCAATTTTGAGTGGTCGCACCTTGGCCTTCTTGTTGTAGTATCTCTCTATTTATTGCTTCTGGACTACCATTCTTACGTGGGCCATGTCTCTTCGTTCTTCAACTTCATCCAGATCTTATAGCCTACTTTCGTCATTCTCTATTCCGCTCTCGTTAGAGTATCTTAAGTTGGGCTCCCCGACCTCGACAGGTATAACTTCGTGGGTTCCATAGACCAGTGAGCATGCCGTTTCTCATGTGCTAGATTTTGGCATAGTGCGATATGCCTATAATACTCCAGGTAGTAGTTCGGGCCATAGACCTTTGGCTTCCTCAAGCTTCTTTTTCTATATGTTCAGTATTACTTTATTGGCGGATTCAACTTGGCCATTGGCGGCAGGGTGGTATGGCGTGGAGAGTATTCGTTTGATGTGCCATTTTTCAAAAAACTCAATCGTTCTTTTTCCAATGAATTTAGGTCCGTTGACGCAGCTGATTTCCTTGGGGATACCAAAACGACATATAATATTTTTCCATATGAAGGTGATGACCTCATGTCCTCGAATCTGAGTGTATGCACATGCTTCCACCTATTTAGAGAAATAGTCAGTTAAAACTAAAAGGAAACGTACCTTACCTCATCCCGCTGGGAGGGGGCCGACAATGTCCATTCCCTATTTTATGAATGGCCATGGCGAAGTGATAGAATGGAGGAGTTCTCCCGCTTGATGTATCATGGGAGCGTTCTTTTGACATTGCTCGCATCTTCGGACATAGTCCGCGGCTTCTTTTTTCATGGTAGGCCAGTAGTAACCGGCGCGGATGAGGCATCGAACGGGGGCGTGGTTTCCCGTGTGGGCTCCGCAATGCCCTTCGTGTACTTCTTCTAGTACTCACCTTGTTTGGTGTGGTCCTAGACATTTAGCTAGGGGACCGCTGAACGTTCTTTTGTAGAGATCATTGTTTATTAGGTTGTATCGGGCCACCGGTGCCCGGAGTTTTTTGGCTTCCTTTTTGTCTTGTGGAAGCTTTCCATCCTACAAATAGGCTATGAAGCGGTTACGCCAGTAGCAAGTTAAGTTTATAGAATGTACCTCGACGTGGTCGATTGCGAAATGAAGGAGTGTGACCACGTTTTCTTTGTTGATATTCTTGGTGGTTGCAGCCAGTTTAGCAAGGCCATCTGCTTCGATGTTTTGCGTCCTGGGTATTTGGTCGAGGCGGCACTCATCAAACTCTGGCAGTAGTTTATGGATTTCCGATTGGTATCTATGTAGCCTCTGTTCTTTGATTTGGAAAGTCCCGGTGACCTGGTTCATCACGAGTTGGGAGTTGCAGTGGAGGACGAGTCGTCGAGCGCCATACTTGAGGGCTAACTTCAACCTGCAATCACAGCTTCATACTCGGCCTCGTTGTTAGTCATCTCGGGGAATCATATGGACTGGCGAATCACTTCGCCCGTAGGGACCTCGAGGACGAGTCCCAGTCCTGATCCCGAGGTATTGGAGGCACCATTGGTGTAGAGGACCCAGAGATCGGTATGTGTGGAGGCGCGAAGTGCTTCCTGTTCTACCTCGGGAAATATCTCCGTGCTGAAATTAGCAACGAAGTCTGCGAGCACCTACAACTTAATGGCAGTTCGCGGTTGGTATGTTATGTCGTGCTCGCTTAATTCTATGGCCCATTTGGCGAGTCTACCCGATAGTTCGGGTTTGTGCAGGATACCACTTAGGGGGAAGGTCGTTACTACTTTTATGGGGTGACATTGAAAATATGGTCTAAGTTTCCGTGAAGCCATGACCAGTGACAGAGCTAGCTTTTCAAGGTGAGGGTACCTTGTCTCGGCATCGATTAAAGTTTTGCTGATATAATAAATCGGAGATTGCATACCTTTATTTTCACGAACCAAGACTGCACTTACCGCAACTTAGTAAACTGCCAAGTACACGAGCAGACACTTGTTTGGATCCGCTTTGACGAGTAGTGGCGGCAAAGATAGATGTGCCTTTAGTTTTCTCAGGGCGTCGACACATTCCTCGTTCCATTACAGCCCATGGTCTTTTCTCAACACATTGAAGAATTTGTGGCATCTATCTGAGGATTGTGAAATGAACCTTGATAGGGCGGCTATTTTCCCCGTTAGTTTCTGCACCTGCTTTTTGCTGGTCAGTACCTCCGGTATCGCGTCAATGGCTTTGATTTGATCCGGGTTGACTTCTATTCCTCTCCGCAACATGAGGAAACCTAGGAATTTTCCCGAGGCCACATCGAAGGCGCACTTCTCCGGATTTAACTTCATCTCGTACTGCCTCAATATCTCGAAGGCTTCTTTCAAATGGCTATTGTAATCTTCCTTTTGTCGTCTTTACAATCATATCATCGATATAGACCTCCATGGTCTTGTCGGGCTGCTCTTTGAACATTTTGGTGACTAACCTCTGGTACGTGGCTCCTGTGTTCTTGAGCCCGAACGACATCACTTTATAGCAGTAAGTCCCTTGATGAGTGATGAAAGTCGTCTTTTCTTGATCATCTTCAGCCATTAGAATTTGGTTGTAACCGGAATAGGCATCCAAGAAACTTAACAATTCGTGCCCCGATGTCGCATCGATTAGTTGGTCGATATAGGGTAACAGGAAGGAGTCTTTTAGGCATGCTTTGTTTAGGTCGGTGAAGTCCACACACATTCGCCATTTCCCGTTCTTCAAATTGACCATGACCACATTGGCGACCCATTGGGGGTATTTCGATTCTCTGATGGAACTGTTGGCGAGTAATTTATCCACCTCTTCGCTGACCACCTTATTGATTGCGGCATTGAACTTTCTCCTCATTTGTCATACCGGCGGATAGAGTGGATCAACATTCAGTCTATGAGTGGCGACATCCTTTGGGATTCCTGGCATATCTGAGTGGGAGAAGGCAAATAAATCGGCTTTGTTAGTTAAAAATTCATGATACTTACCTAGCTCCGAGAGGTTGTGCCCTATGTAAGCCTTTTTTGTGTTGTCGACGTCATCCAATTAGACGGGGTCAAGATCCTCTATAGTTGCCTGACAGGCTTCTACGATATCCGGGTCTATAGTGGCCTCTGTTTATGGGTCGGGTTTGGTTCCCGACATGGCTGATTGTTATGCCTCCGCACTTTCTCCTTTCAGTTGTTTGGTATGCGTGCAATCTTGGGCGATCCGATAGCATTCTTGTGCGGTGCGTGGATCGCCTCGGATGCTAAATATTCCCCAGGGGGTGGGAAATTTGATCACTTGATAAAAGCTTGAGGGAACGACCTGTATAGCTTGTATCTATGGTCTCCCTATGATGGCATTGTAGGTTGTTTCCTGGTTCATAACGTGGAATGTTGTCTCCAGGGTGACTCCTCCTACTAGTACAGGTAGCAAAATTTCTCCAAAAGTCTGTTCTACTGCATTGTTAAAACCCGTTAGCGTTATGCAATGTGGTACTATTTTATCCTCGAGCCTTATTTGCATGAGAACTCTCGAGTGAACAATACATGCGATGCTTCCGTCATCTACCATGATTCTTTTTACATCTGTATCAGCGATGCGTAAAGTTATAACTAAGGCATCATAGTAAGGGAAAGACAAACCATCGGCATCTAACTTATCGAAGATGATACTGTCTTCGAGGTCAACATACCGTTCGTGGGCGACCGTTAGTTTGAGTTTATGCGTGATGGTGAACTTCACATGGTTGATTACCATGTCGTCGCCACCGCCAATGATCATCTTTATGGTGGGTGCTGGCGACGGTGGCTTTGGAGGTCCTTGAGATGGGTCACGTCCTCGGGCGAAGTTAGCTCTTCCTTTGTCGCTCAACAGTTCTTTCAGATACCCCTCATTCAGCATCCTGACTACTTCTTGTTGTAGACCTATGCAATCCTCGGTCTTATGCCCTCTTTCTTGGTGAAATTCGCAGAGGACGCTGGACCTCCTGGTTCTTGGGTCCGATTTCATTGTTTGCGGGCATTGTACCTTCGTGCCCAGCTTCTCTAGTGCGTACACTACCTCTGAAGGGGAAACACAAAAATTATGAGCAGATAGTAGTAGAGGCATACCTCTCTCATTTCGGAGGGGCGCAGTGTGCCGCGGCAAGGCTTCCGCGTGTCGAGGAGGGGGCGCGTTCGATGTTCGGATATAGGGCTGATGCCTTTCTCGGTTGAAGCGTGGTGGTTGATCTCTTCGCCCGTCATTACGTCGATCTCTCCTTGTCTCGATTTGAACCGATGTTAATCGTTGAAGCGACTCGTTCAGGTCATCCTCATCTGCCCTTACCTAGGCGCAGTAGGCATTGTGAATTTCTTCCCATATGGTGGGGGATACTTCATGAGTCTACTGAGCAGTTTTTTGGTCGCTTTTGATCCGATCATGTTTCACCAATTTTGAAAGGCTGCTACTGCCATCCCTTCTGACATGTTTGGTAGGCCCATCCTTACTTTGTTGAATCGGGCCAGGAAATCCCGAAGTCCCTCGCCCATCGTTTGTCTGACGACGAAGATATCATTGACCCTAGCTTCAGCCTTCTTCGCCCTTGCATGAGCGGTGACGAATTTGTCCGCCATCTCCTCGAACGTCGATATCAATCGCGCTGGTAGTTGGGAGTACCATGTCAATGCTCCCCCTGTCAAGGTCTCACCGAATGTTTTTAGCAGCACAGATGGTACTTGTTCCTTTGCTAGATCGTTGCCCTTTACCGCAGTAACATAATGAATTAGATGATCCTCCGGGTTTGTGGTCCCGTCATATATTTTCAAGTATGGCGGCATCTTGAAGGTTTTGGGATAGGGTGAGGAGCAACCCCTTCGATGTATGGTTGTTCAACGAATCGGCCCACATCGCGTTTTGGTAATAGCTTGGGGGCGCCTGGTATTTTGTCAACCCTCTGCTGATGCTCCTTCATTTGATCACGGAGTGTTTTGTTCTCGTTTTCTATCTCTTCCATTTTCTTTAAGATGGCCATGAGTACATCGTCACCTGCATCCGTGACAGTGCGGGTGTTACCCGTTCGTGTAGCGCTCGGCTCATTGGTGGTAGCTGCGATTTCTGTAGGCGGCAAGTTTTCGACATCTCCTTGAGGGGTTTTTTTGAGCATGTTGCTCAGAGCACTTATCAAATATTCTTCTAGCAGCTTTTTGACTGCTGGCGGTGCTTCCCCCCGCCGTGGACGTTGAAGCTCCCCTTTCGTGTAAGACCGTTAGATCCCCGTGTGGAGAAGGTGAGATCTCCCCCTACGGTGTAACTCTTGGTGTTGTGTTCTCGGTGTCTTCCATACCGGCTTTGTTGAGGGAGTTCAGGAGATTGTTTGAGACATCTGCTATCATTTTCAGCCTCGCTTTTTTTTCTGCCATTGTTGGTTTTTATGAGGTTTGAAGAATAGTAATCGTCACTTTCCAGAACCTAGATGAGAACTATGATTTCAGCTATGGAAATCCCCATAGACGGCGCCAAATTGTTTGACTCAAAAGATGTTAAACTCTTTTTGGACAAATCAATTAAAGATGAAGGGGTAAATCGTAGCTGAAGATAATAAACTCTAGGATGATAATAATAGAGAGAAGTGAGTTGTCCGTATTCTTTCATTCAAGGCTGGTGAGTTTTTTTATAAAGTTCCCCCTTTTTACAAGGCTTTCAACCTTCTTATATACTGAGGAGTTTCTTCCAAACACGGAATCGACAAGTAAAGAATTATCTAAGGAATATTCTCTAGGTCTCCTAACGGGCTGATTCTACTGTCGAGGTCATGTTGTCGCTTCTTTTACTACAAGGTCGTATCTCTCTAGGCATCGACTCACAGGTACTCGGTCGTTTGTCGTGCTCGTTGTAGGTCGTGGTCGATCAAATTCGGACGCATACAAATATAATCTCTAATTCTAGGTATTAGGTTTAAAATAAGTAAAGTTATTTTGATACATACCATATTTTGCTAAGAGTATTTTTGGTAAGAAGAAAAGTCAAAACTGCTTGTGCTTTGGGAGAAACTACTTTTTCCTTCTTCTCTTAAACTGTTTCTGCTTCTTCCCAAAAAAACTTTTTCCCCCAAAAAAAGTTTGGTCAAACACCTCAAGTTGAGAAAAAAGTATTTTTTGAGGGGAAAAAAATACCTTTGGGAGTGGGGAGAAGCTTGGCCAAACGGACTATTAGATGCAAATGTGCTTACCTATGGTTCTTTGGCAAACTTTACGATTTAAATCAGTTTTTAAATAATACGTAATCCTAAAATAACAAATATTTATTGCTCAATGGCATGTGATTATAAATTATGAGTAATGAAACTGAATTTCTTTTTCGGTAATGGTTCATCCCTGATTAGTGAAGACAACATATCCTCATTTGTGAAGTTACAAATAGAAGTGATTTTGAGGCGGAGATGTTAGATTTTAATTAGTGTGAGTTTAGGGAGTGGACAGTACACTTCTCTCTGTTTAATTATATTGGCACGTGAAAGCATTTGTTTACTGGTTATCAGCACACATATTGGTATAAAACCTCAAATCCAACTCTGCTATGTAATAATGGTGTTTACCTTAAAATTGGATAACAATTAAATTTGTACGCGGTTTTAAGGATATATGGTTTGATTCAACACAAATACTTAAAAATATTAGATAAATGAATTTAAAACGAAATAAGCAATCAAACCAATTGTGATGACTTGAATTGAACAACGACCGCGTCCTCGATTATACCCCCGATTCAAGCCCGGTCGTCAATAAAGAACAGGATAAGTGAACAACATCTTTAAGAGTAGCTAAAAGGCAGAAGATAAACTTGTGTTGCTTTGATTCGCGTGTCATAGTGTGTTACAAAAGAAAACTCCAGGCCCTCTTTATATAGTAGGGGAGTTTTATCCCTAGTATAAGTCTAAAAAAGGTAAAAATCATCCTTTCTCGTTAATTACTGATCCATAACCGACATCGAGCGAGATCCGTGCCGTGATATCCGGTTGGGTGCGAATATCACGACCCTCTATTCGTCGTGTGTAACCGTTCACCGTGTTTCCCGAGGTCTTAGAACTCATTCTTGGCCTGGGTCACGTTGCTTTACCATACCCGATGACAAGCACATCGTTCGCTCTTCCTGAATCTCGACATGAAGGGTCTCTAACCTCGATTACAATCTCGTGCATATATACCTTTCTTCCGTTTTCTCACCAGGAAATCGGGGTAGACATTTCCCCGATTTTACCCGTACATAAATGGTCTGTCACTAAACTGTACTGGTTCTTTTTTTGGTATGAATACTATAATATGTTATATCATCCTAGTCCTTAGTGTTATAGGGTTTGCTACTACTTTTTTTAGGTCTAGATGGTAAACGACAAACATTATATTCCTATATATTGTTCCACAGAAACAATCTTATTAATATCAACGTCAGGTATCAGAATAAAAAATAATAATGGGAAAAAGATACGTCTGGCTATGGAGTGCCCACTAATAATAAAAGTGTAATTCATAGAATATGAAAATCCTGCTGCCCTGCCCCTTTGAATTTCAGAAGGGTTACAAGCACTTTTATTTTGGCCTCCACCATATATAAATTCTGGAAATCGATGATAGGAGGGGACCCTAGCTATTTGACGCACACAGTGTATAGCTAGAGAAGAAATAAGAATAAGATTGTTCTTTAAGTTGATACTCAGCTTTAACCTTAATATATAGTAGCTTTGAAATCATAAGCGAAATGGAAAATATAACAAAAGAAACAAAAAACAGTAAGGCCACACCACATCCCACAATATAACATGAAAATAATGGAGAGACCTACAACTTCCAATGTTGAAATAAGAAACAATCATAAGTCTAAATTAATACTAGTAAGGGGGGGACTGTTCGCGTAAGCTCTCTTGCTGTGTACTCTTAAAGGCAACTTGATATGTGTTTTCTTTTTCGTGCTCAACAAATTAATATATATTTATATCTATCTATTTATATTTATATTTATATTTATATCTATATTTATCTATACTATATTAAAATCAGGAAGGCCCTAAACGAAATGTCATTCGCCTTTTTTACCCTTTAAAAACTGATTTAATATTGGATAAAATAGTCTTTCCTTATTTAAATTATTTCATAAATCATAAAATCTAAGACATTAACAATTAAATAAAATATTGCATTATATAAACTCTTTCTTTATTAAACTCTATAACATAATTCTAATTCATTTTATAATACTTTTCCTATAAAGGATTTTGAAAGGTGAGTGTGAATGCAATATTTAATTGCACCTGTAAGTTTCCCTCACTATTTAGCCATGAATCATTATTTTACACAATATATGTATGAATAATTAGTATGAATCCGCTAGCAACAATATCTTCAAGTTCATATTTGGAGGAAGTAATGCTTTTCTATATTATTTTTCTCGTGTAATATGCGAGCTTCAGGTTATTTGAACTTAGATAAAATTAGTACAAAAATCACCAATAATGTGTCCAACAATCGTACTAATCCATCATGTAAATTAATAACCAAGAATATTCAAGCATATTTGATCATACGAATAAAAATTAGATTATATANGGACTACGAAGCGTATGGCTACATAGACAGATTGCGCTGCGAAAATATAAATTTGTATACCTAACTTACATCATGAATTAGCTAGCTAGAAAGCTGTCAAAGTAACCTAATTAGATTTAATTGACTACAGAATTAAATTTATTGTAAATTTAACTACCAAAGTAGAATTCCATTTACTTATAGGAATTGCTTTAACTTCTTGTATGAGTTATCCAACGTTAGTTGTCCTCATTAATCAAGACTGCGAGGCATCAATTTCTTTGACTTTAGAATCGAATCAAGACTGTGAAAAAAGAAGAAAGAACCATTGGAATTGATCCAAAAAAGAAGAGAGAATCATTGGAATTGATCCAAACTCTTAAACATGATAATATTTATCATTTTGAATTATAATTATTTTACAAATTTTTATTTTATAACACAAATACATCTTTTGAATATTTATGTTATTTTTCATGAATTTGTTCTCATTAGTATGGGGTACACGCGCAACGCGCGTACAGTAAGACTAGTATTATATTAAAAGCATGAAGACCCTTAGCGAAATATCGTTTGTCTCTTTTACCCTTTAAAAATATATTATATATTGGATAAAATAATAATTCAAGTTAGTTGCCTAAAATTTAGGGCTTCAAAATTAATGATATTTTGTATATTAAGTACTTCCTTATTTAAAATAGGTATGAATCCTAATTTATAGGACTTCAAAATCAATTACTGAAATTTTACCTTAAAAGAAAAAAACATACTTTTACCATGTTTATTTCCCCATCCCTTTTATTAATAAGAGATGATGTCCCTATTATATTTATATTCTAGAATATTTAATAAAATACCTACAACAAAAGACTAAAATTTAAAACTAATGTTCTTTTTCATTTCAAACGTGATCTTTATTTACAAAATAAAAAATCTGAAGTCCCTCCAAATTAATCTTAATTATTATAAAAATGCTTTATTTAATAAGTCATTTAATTATTTTTATAATTTTAAAAATTTAAAATTAATAAAAGAAATTCTTATTTGGGCTGAAA